TATATGTATATTATATATATATATATATATATATATATGTATGCATGTGTGTATATATTTATATAAATGTATCTATATATATAAATAATATATAATATATGTATATATGTATATCTATTTTCAATACATGGATGAACATTATTTTTGTAACAATATGTATATATTCATATGATATGGGGACAAAAACATTGATACCTAAAGATAACGTTCTAAATATAATATAAATCATTCACTTAGCATAAAATATACGCCGATACAGTATGTGCTTGATATTACACCGTGTGACTTTAGATCATCAGGGGTGAGAAAAATATCGGACACACAGTCAAAAGACGTGACCACACCTGAATACAACGCCATACTGTTGGTGTCAAAGTCTGAAGATTTGATATCAACAGGTGAGTGAGTGTGAGCGTTTGGGCGCATCACTCCCCACGCATCATGACACACCTCTGTAAGGCAGCACAAGCTCATGCTCTAAACACGGCCCTGCAATTACAAGTACCAGAGCGTACTCAAAGGAGTTGAACCTATTGCGATGAAGAGGTACAGTTTATTGGCCTTATCGACGCACATTCACATCTCACCGCTATCCACAGACACCGGTCTATTGTAGGTAGGGTCATCCTGCTACCCGTTGTCGGTTGCCAGGATGGTCCCCGGGACTGATTGCATCCACGTCGATGTACGTTGAGACCTGAATGTCAATACAGTATTATATATACAGTTGAATTAGTAATAATCATACTAAGCTGAAAATGTATTTACAGTTCATTTGCTTCCTCATAACGCGTTCCAAGGCTATCAATATCCGGACATATCGGTCCATTGGAGGTAGTCTCATCTGCTACTGCATCCAAATCGATGTATGATGAGACCTGAATTTCCATACAGTATTATATAACCGTTCGGGTTAATATTGGTATTACTATTCTGAAATATACATTTATAATTCATTGCATGCTCATCACACATTCACAAGGCCACTAATATCAGGACATGCCGGTCCATTGGAGGTAGGCTCAACTGTTACTGCATCCAAATCGATGTATGATGAGACTTGAATGACCATACAGTATTATATAAACGATCGCATTAATATTAATTATACTTCATTGAAATATAAATTTACAGTTCATTTGCCACCGCATAGCACGTTCACATGTCACTAATATTCGGACTTACCGGTCGGTTGGAGGTAGGCTCATCTGCTACTGCATCCAGGTCGATGTACGCTGAGACCTGAATGTTCATACAGTATTACATAAACGGTCGAATTAATATTAATTATGTTTTAAAAATGAAAAATAAGTTTGCAGTTCATTTGACTCCGCATAGCAGGTTCACATGTCACTAATATCCGGACTTACCAGTCTATTGGAGGTAGGCTCAGCTGCTACTGCATCCAAATCGATGTATGATGAGACCTGAATGTCCTTACAGTATTATATAAAAGGTCGAATTAATATTATTAATACTTTAGTGTCCATATAGTACTATACAAACGGTCAAATTATCATTAATTATAGTTAGTTGAAATATAAATTTACAGTTCATTTGCCACGCATAGCACGTTCACATGTCACTATTATCCGGACTTACCGGTCGGTTGGAGGTAGGCTCAGCTGCTACTGCATCCAAATCGATGTATGATGAGACCTGAATGTCCATACAGTAT